TATACATGCAATTTTTTCTTATACTACTTATAGAGAGTCTTTATTATATTTGTAGAATTTAAGAGATGACTTTTCATAAGAGTCATGTTTTTTCATGAATATATGACTTTTCATAATAGTCATGTCCTTTCATGATCAGATGATTTTCATAAGAATCATGTTCTTTCATGATGTGTCAATTTAATATAAAAATTCTACATTACAAAAAATTCAACAATACTAACATCAATTATTAGGATTATTAATGTGGTAAAATAGTATTAGAAAAAATAATCTTCAATAGTCATATCAAGCATTGTTTTCTTAATAGATATGTCAAGTTCAAATGTGATAAATGAAAAGTAGATTAAACTAAAAAGTATTAAAAGAGTTAAAAGATTTAAATTAATAAATACACTCTTTTTGTTTAGGATTTTTTTAAAAGTGTGTAAATAAAATATAAACTAATAATATGAAGGAATAGATTCATTAATAATTGTGCACAGATAATTTCTCTCTTAATATTATGCACATATGGAATAAACCAAAAAAAAAAAAGTTTTAAAATATAACAACTAATCATGAAATGACAAAGCACACATTTTGATACCTCAAATTTAAACTCACTCTTCTATTATAGTAAATTTCATTATTTTCAACAAATAAAGTTCTTAGTCTTTGGTGACTTCGAAAATTAATTAGAACATTAATGCTTAACTTTATCAATAAGACAGGAAAAATAATAGAGACAATATCCTATGAATTTTCCTAGGAAAAACATTTGTAATAATTCAAATGAAATGTTGCTATTCGTGTGTTGCCCCTCATGTACTAGTGGCATTATTTTATACTTTTAGAAATAAATTTGCACTGCCTAAACCCTTACTACTACTTAATAGAGAAGGATTGTTCAAATGCGTATAATAAATATTCTTATTCTTAATTATCCTTTTTTTGTACGATCAGTGAAATGGAATGAATCAAGAATTAGGACGAATATGATTCTAATGTAATAAGAAATGAATTTTGGAATTTTCCCTACCTAAACCCTTACAATAATTGATAGAGTAAGGATAGTTCAAATTCGCATAAAAAAATATTTTTTTTCTTAATTAACTCCTTTCTGCACGCTAAATGAAATTGAATGAATAAAAAGTATGAATGGATTTGACTCAATATCATAATAATAATAATAATAATAATAATAATAATAATAATAAAAACTTAACTTAGTCCTAAATCGACCTCAAAATAGCTCATTAAGAGTCACTGCCCAAGATCGTAAGGGAGGGCTTCATGCAATGTATCAATCTTGTATAATTATGTATATATGATGTATAACTATGTATCAGAGATGTATATACATCCATATACTCTGTTTGTACAATGTTTATGCATTGTAGTTCATCTTCCTCAACAATGTGTTTTCTTGAATCTCAACCAATTCAAATCTTCTCTAAATATGACTCAACACTTTATGAACGTGCATAATTTTATGCATATCGTGCCTCTACGGTATACAAAAACGAACAGAAAACCGAACCAAATCGCAAATCGAGTTAACCCCCCAAAAAAACCCGATTAGTGGTTTGGAATTGAAAAAAAAAATTGACTGTATTTGGTTTTAACTAGAAAAAATCAACTCGACATTATATATGTTATTTTAAATTTATTTTATGTATAAAAATATTTACTTTGATATGATTTTAAAATATTTTTTGTATTTTTTCATAATTTTATAAATTTAATATACTTAGAATTTGAAATGTCCAACAACTATTATAGTTCATAGATGTTGATAATTATAATAATACTTAAATCATAATTAAATTTATAATAATGCAAAAAGAAAATCAATTCAACACTAAGAATGACAATAATATTGAAAATTTGTTCTTTAGTTTTACATTAGTTTAGATAATTAACATACATAGTTAATTCTAATTTTTCTTAAATAGTTAGTAATGTAACTAATACTTATTAAACTTATTTTAACATGATTTAATACTTTCAAATTACGATCATTTTCATTATGACTTTACAATATTTATTTTGTATGATGATTTCATTATTATTTAATGTAATATTTTTGAGTCATCAATACTCCTCTCATGTTTTGTATATTTTTTTTAAGAAACACCTTAGATAATAGTACTTTGGTTGGACTAAAGAAAAATCTGAAGCACAAGTTAATTATATGTTTGTATGTAAACTTTACCGAAAAATTCAAAAAACTGAAAAAAGTTCAAGGTTTATTATTTGGTCTGATTTATAAATTTAAAAATTCGCCACAATGATTTCGTTTGATATTTGTAAAAGCCGAACCAATCCGAGGTTGAAAAACTCAAAATATTCAAATTTTATAAGTTTGGTTTGGTTTATAAATTTAAAATTTTTATACAAATGATTTAGTTTGGTATTTGAAAAACCCGAACCAACACAATCATGTACACCCCTACGTGCCCCAAAGAAAGGAAAAACAAATAATTATTTTTAACACAAAGAATTGATTGAATTCGTTGTGTACTTTCCTTTTTTGATATACATAGATTATATATTAATTATACACTTATTATTCATGAATTAAATACATACTCACTTCGTCCTAATTTATGTGACATTGTTTCCTTTTTAGTCAGTGTCAAAAAGAATGTCACATTTCCTTATATGATACGACAAGTATTTAAAGGTACAATTTCTCTTTTATCTTTATTGGTCCTGCTTAATTTTAAATAATACTCTAATACATTTATGAAGAGACAGAAACGTCAATTCACTTTTGAAGGACAATATGGTAAACAATTCAAAAAGTCTTCATGTTGAATGCCTTGAATTGAGCCTTAGTTATCTGTCAATTATGTATTTTGGGCCCAAGCCTGTTAGGGCGTAGCTTAGCACTATATATAGACGCTATGACAAACCCTATTCTGTAATTCTGTTTTTGCCTTTCCGTAATAAAACTGCTCCCCTCTTTCCGTGGACGTAGCCAACTTATTGGTGAACCACGTAAATCTGTTGTCTTGTTTTTCGCGTTTATATTTTCTCGTATTATCTCGAATTCCGCATAATAAATTGGTATCAGAGCCTCCCGGTTAATCGGTGTTCTTGGAGAATTTCGAGATGTCTGCTTTGAACGTGAGGTATCATTTTCTGAGAAGTGAGAAGAGAATCAAGGTGAAGAAAGTAGGAACTGCTGATAATCTTGCTGATATGTTCACAAAGCCGGTTCCACAGAGCAAGTTTCAACACTGTTTGGACTTGCTCAACATCAGAAGCTGTTAATTGCCCTGCGGGGCAATTCTGAGGAAGAGGGGGAGGCCTGGCACTATCATAGTGCGTCTGAAGAATCTGTTTGGAGAATTCAAGTCAAGGTGGAGATTTGTTGAATGCCTTGAATTGAGCCCTTAGTTATCTGTCAATTATGTATTTTGGGCCCAAGCCTGTTAGGGCATAGCTTAGCACTATATATAGACGCTATGACAAACCCTATTCTGTAATTCTATTTTTGCCTTTCCATAATAAAACTGCTCCCCTCTTTCCGTGGACGTAGCCAACTTATTGGTGAACCACGTAAATCTATTGTCTTGTTTTTCGCGTTTATATTTTCTCGTATTATCTCGAATTTCGCACAACATTTCATTTATTTTTTGAACTATGTGTCAGGTCAAATAATGTCATATAAAATGGGACGAATGTGAGTATATTATATATCTATCCACTATCAGTTTTATTCCTTGGATTTCCACATGTAAAGACAATATTTTTTTCTAGCAGCCCCTGTTGGTCCTTTGGTGCCCCCACAAGTAATCAAGTGGACTGAAATGTAGTGCCAATTTTCTCTAGGAATTTCTGCAGTAATTCAAAGGAATAAATAGATAAATATGGATTTCCACATATAAAAACACAACACAAAATAAATAAAAGTTTAAGTTGTGTTGGGATATTAAGTCTTGGGTCAACTTTTGTTAGGTAAATGAGTTTGATGATTAGTATACGCCAATTATACGAGAAATTATTATGATAATAATAGTTTAGAAGTTCAAATAATATATGAAGTTAAAATTTAAATTAAGTGTAATTTTCTATCGATTGACATGTATGTGATTATCTCACTCGCCTCTTTCTTATCTCCTGTAGACATGTAGTTAATACGATTTTCATGATGTTTATGGGGATGAGTCACATATATTTGGGTATTTCGGTCGCCTCTTTCTTTTTTTCGCTCGTATTTCTCACTATTTTTTTTATTTGGTAGCAAAAATACATATATATATATATATATATATATATATATATAGATTAGTGTATCTGACTTAATATCTGTAATGAAACTGTAAATTAGTGAAACTATATATACATAATTATTTCAAACTATAAAGAAAACTAGTAAATATTATAGAAATATTTATGTAATTAGATAATTTCAGTTTTATTTCTCGGATGGTTCTCGCATTAGAAAGTACCTACTTTCACCTTGGTATACCTCTATTGAATGTGGCATGTTTCTAATGTTCTTTTATCACATTCAAGTGCATCGATGTGCCTTTTCTCAATCGAAAATGACATAGATAATTCAAACTTTTAACAGATGTTATAAAATGAGCTTTTTTCCTAAAGTTCATTAACAAATTTGAGCGATTTTCCTTTTAGGGATAAAAGAAATTAAAGAAGAATAATACTAATACTTTTCACTATTTTACACTTATTATTCATAGACTAGGTACATATATTATATATCTGCAAATTTTAGTTTTAAATCCTTGAATGGATGTTTACTCTTCCAAGAAGGATCCGAAATAGCTGCATGTTTTCGAACACTTGCAACTTTTTTTATAACAAAGTGATTGTTTAACATTAAATATATTATAGTGGATGTCATTTGGAAAATAAAACTATAGAATATAATTTTCTGACACTAGAAGTGATAATTTTGTTCATACACATGGTCTTTTTTCCACAATAATTTTTCTAGAAGTTGAATAGGTCAATAATAAAACACTATAAATAGAGAGTTGCTTCAAAAGCAGAAAAATTCATCAAATACACTGTCCAAATACATCAGCACTTCTTATATTTGCAGCCATGGGATTCTTGAAAATCCTTTTTGTTTTCATCTTTTGTTCATTCCCATGGCCTACTATTCAGAGTAATCTCGAGACTTATATCGTCCATGTTGAATCCCCTGAAAGCCTAATTACTGCTCAATCATCGTTAATGGATTTAGATAGCTATTACCTTTCTTTTTTGCCTAAAACTACTACCGCAATTAGCTCTAGTGGAAATGAAGAGGCTGCTACAATGATCTATTCTTATCACAATGTGATGACAGGGTTTGCAGCAAGATTAACTGCAGAACAAGTGAAGGAAATGGAGAAAAAACACGGCTTTGTCTCTGCTCAGAAACAGAGGATTTTGTCTTTGCACACTACTCATACTCCAAGTTTTCTTGGTTTGCAGCAGAACATGGGCTTGTGGAAAGATTCCAATTTTGGAGAAGGCGTGATCATCGGAGTTCTAGACACTGGAATTCTTCCTGATCATCCTTCATTTAGCGATGTTGGGATGCCTCCCCCGCCTGCTAAGTGGAAAGGAGTTTGTGAGCCCAATTTCACCAACAAGTGTAACAACAAGCTCATTGGAGCCAGGTCTTACAAACTTGGCAATGGTTCCCCGATAGACGATGATGGACATGGTACACACACAGCAAGCACAGCTGCGGGGGCTTTTGTGAAAGGTGCTAATGTATATGAAAATGCTAATGGAACTGCAGTTGGTGTTGCTCCTCTTGCCCATATAGCCATATATAAGGTGTGTAACTCTGTTGGTTGTTCTGACAGTGATATTTTAGCTGCCATGGATTCAGCTATAGATGATGGAGTAGATATTCTTTCTATATCCATTGGTGGATCTCTGAGACCTCTTTATGATGAAAGTATTGCTCTCGGGGCGTACAGTGCAACACAAAGAGGCATTCTTGTTAGTTGCTCAGCAGGCAATAATGGTCCTTCGCCTGCCTCAGTAGATAACTCAGCCCCTTGGATTCTTACAGTAGGTGCCAGCACGCTTGATAGAAAGATAAAAGCTACTGCTAAGCTCGGAAATGGAGAGGAATTTGAAGGAGAATCTGCTTATCGTCCAAAGATTTCCAACTCAACATTCTTCACTCTATTTGATGCTGCAAAAAATGCAAAAGATCCATCTGAAACCCCTTATTGCAGACGAGGGTCACTCACTGACCCTGCTATAAGAGGAAAGATAGTATTATGTTTAGCATTCGGCGGTGTAGCCAATGTTGATAAAGGACAAGCTGTGAAGGATGCTGGAGGTGTTGGCATGATTGTCATCAACCCATCACAATATGGTGTCACTAAATCAGCTGATGCTCATGTTCTTCCAGCATTGGTTGTTTCAGCTGCAGATGGAAGCAAAATTCGTGCCTATACAAACTCAATATCGAACCCTGTTGCTACAATCACAATCCAAGGAACAGTAATTGGAGATAAAAATGCTCCAATAGTTGCTGCATTTTCTTCTCGCGGACCAAGTAAACCTAATCCTGGGATCTTGAAACCTGACATAATTGGTCCTGGTGTTAATATCCTCGCTGCTTGGCCTACTTCTGTGGATGACAACAAGGACACCAAATCCACATTCAATATTATATCAGGCACCTCGATGTCTTGCCCACACCTTAGTGGGGTAGCAGCTCTGCTGAAGAGAACACATCCTGATTGGTCTCCTGCTGTTATTAAGTCTGCAATGATGACAACCGCTGACACATTAAACCTTGCCAGTAGTCCAATACTCGACCAAAGGCTCCGTCCTGCTGATATCTATGCAATAGGTGCAGGACATGTTAATCCATCGAGGGCAAATGATCCAGGACTAGTTTATGATACCCCATTTGAGGATTATGTACCTTATTTATGTGGTTTGAACTACACAAATCCACAGGTAGGTAAATTGTTACGACGCAGGGTGAATTGCTCGGAGGTTGAAAGTATCCCTGAAGCACAATTAAACTATCCTTCATTTTGCATATCGAGACTTGGATCAACTCCTCAGACATACACCAGAACTGTGACCAATGTTGGTGATGCCAAATCATCTTACACGGTGCAGATAGCTTCACCTAAAGGCGTTGTCGTGAAAGTTAAGCCCAGCAAGCTAAATTTCTCGGAGTTGAACCAGAAGCTAACATACCAAGTGACATTTTCCAAGACAATTAACAGCTCAATGTCTGGGGTTGTTGAGGGATTCTTGAAGTGGAATTCTAACAGGCACTCTGTGAGAAGTCCAATTGCAGTTGTGTTGGCATTGGCTAAGTAAGTGCACAAAGTATTCAAACATTTGAAAATGCTGTTTGATTACACAATAAACGTTCTGTTACTTTTTTCATTGTTAAAACAATAAACTTTATGTTCACAGCTGATTGAAGAAAGCAAAAGCATATCCTCTTTGATATTAGTGTCCTTGCTCTGCTTAACTTTTCTTCTTGATTTCATTTTTGTTCGACAAATAAAGTGACTTCTCGAGATAATAAATATTAGTTAAGTGACCGAGTAAGAATCTCAGTTCATACTTAAATTTGGGAAATTTGTTGTCACCTACATAATAACACACCCTTTGATCCAGAATATTGACAGTGACTTCAAATATAAAGTCTTAGTCTTTGGTGACTTCAAAAAGTAATTGTGACGTCAATGCTAAAATTATTAATAGGACAATTAAAATAATGGAGACATATCCTATGAATTTCCTAGAAATCGATTGAACTTTTATTTTTTAACATATTATTGAAGGGGACTAATGTACATCATCCATGGTACATATTGTCTTGCAAAGAAATGAAATTAACCAATACATATTTTGTTTTGTTATAATTTTCAAAAAAAGAAAAAAAAGAACTAGAATTATAGAATGCATTGTTGCTATTTGCGTGTGGCCCATCATGTATTGGTGGCATTATTATACTAAGAAATGAATTTTCCCTACCTAAACCCTTACAACTAGTTATTAGAGTAAGGGTTGTTTAAATTCATATAAAGAGATGTTCTCATTCTTAATAATTTTTCTACTCGCCAAGTGAAATGAAATGAATCAAGAATTAGGATGAATATAACTCTAATATAATTAGAAATGATTTTTTCGTACCTAAACCCTTAAAACTAGTTAATAGAGTAAGGATCGTTGAAATCTACATAAATAGATATTCTCATTCTTAATCAACCCCTTTATGCACGCCCAATGAAATTGAATTAAATAAAAAATTAGATGAATTTATCTCGCTTTAAAAAGTACCAACTTTTTTTACCTTGGTCCACTTTGATTGAATAAGTCATTTTTCTAATGTTCTTATCGCATTGAAGTGCATGGATGAGCCTTTTCTCAACTGTAAATAACATAGATAAGTCAAACTTTTAACGAATATCATGTATAAGACCTTTCATAAAGCTTGGCGATATTTTAAGGCTTTTCCTTTTAAGGAAAAAAAATAAATTATTTTTAACGGATGTCATAGATGAGCCATTAATTAAAGCTCGATGACATATTTGACTCTTTTCCCTTTTAGGGAAGAAAAGAAAATAAAGAAGAATAAAACTATAGAATATAGTTCAATTTAGCTAGTCTCATTCACACTACTAACCTTTCTTTTCTTCTCCACATGGTCTTTTTGCCACAATATAATAGTTTTTTTTCTAGAAATTGAATAGGTCACTAACAAAACACTATAAATAGAGTTGCTTCAAAGCAGATAAATTCATCAAATAAACTTTCTAAAAACATAATCAGTTCTTGTATTAGCAGCCATGGGATTCTTGAAAATATTTCTTGTTTTCATCTTTTGTTCTTTCCCAAGGCCTACTATTCAGAATGATCTCGAGACTTATATAGTCCATGTTGAATCTCCTGAAAGCGTAATTTCTACACAATCATCGGTAACGGATTTAGATAACTATTATCTATCTTTTTTGCCTAAAACTACAACAATCAGCTCAAGTGAAAATGAAGAGGCTGCTAGCATGCTCTATTCCTATCACAATGTGATGAAAGGGTTTGCAGCAAGATTAACAGCAGCACAAGTGAAGGAAATGGAGAATAAACACGGCTTTGTCTCTGCTCAGAAACAGAGGATTTTCACCTTGCATACTACTCATACTCCGAACTTTCTCGGTTTGCAACAGAACATGGGCTTGTGGAAGGATTCCAACTATGGGAAAGGCGTGATCATCGGAGTTATAGACACTGGAATTTATCCTGACCATCCTTCATTTAGCGACTTTGGGATGCCTCCTCCGCCTGCTAAGTGGAAAGGAGTTTGTGAGTCTAATTTCAAAACCAAGTGTAACAACAAGCTCATTGGAGCGAGGTCTTACCAAATTGCTAACGGTTCCTTGATAGATGATACTGGACATGGTACACACACAGCAGGCACAGCTGCAGGAGCCTTTGCAAAAGGTGCTAATGTATTTGGGAATGCTAATGGCACTGCTGTTGGTGTTGCCCCTCTTGCCCACCTAGCCATATATAAGGTTTGCAATTCTGATGGCGAGTGTCCTGACTGTGATATTTTAGCTGCCATAGATTCAGCTATAGATGATGGAGTAGATATTCTTTCAATATCCTTGGGTGGATCTCCGAGCCCTTTCTATGATGACTGTATCGCTCTTGGGGCATACAGTGCAACAGAAAGAGGCATTCTTGTAAGTTCTTCTGCAGGCAATGAAGGTCCTTCTGTTGCCTCAGTGGAAAAAGCAGCCCCGTGGATTCTTACAGTAGGTGCCAGCACACTTGATAGAAAGATAAAAGCTACTGTTAATCTCGGAAATAGAAAGAAATATGAAGGAGAATCAACTTATCGTCCAAAGATTTCCAGCTCAACATTCTTCACTCTATATGATGCTGCAAAAAATGCAAGTGAAACTCCTTATTGCAGACCAGGATCACTAACTGACCCTGCTGTAAGAGGAAAGATAGTATTATGTCTACAAGATGATATTGTTTCCAATATTGAAAAAGGACAAGCTGTGAAGGATGCTGGAGGTGTTGGCATGATTATCATCAACCAGCCAAGTTACGGTGCCACTAAATCAGCTGATGCTCATGTTCTTCCAGCAATGGATGTTTCAGCTGCAGATGGAACAAAAATCATTTCCTATATGCACTCAACATCAAACCCTATTGCTAGAATCACATTCCATGGAACAGTAATTGGAGATAAATATGCTCCCATTGTAGCTGCATTTTCTTCTCGCGGACCAAGTGAAGCTAGTCCTGGAATCTTGAAACCTGACATAATCGGTCCTGGTGTTAATATCCTTGCTGCTTGGCCTACCTCTATGGATGGCAACAAAAACACCAAATCCACATTCAATATTATATCAGGCACCTCAATGTCTTGCCCTCACCTTAGTGGCGTAGCAGCTCTGCTGAAAAGCACACATCCTGATTGGTCTCCTGCTGCTATAAAGTCTGCAATCATGACAACCGCTGACACGTTAAACCTTGCCAATAGTCCAATACTAGACGAAAGACTCCTTTTTGCTGACATCTATGCAATTGGTGCAGGACATGTTAATCCATCGAGGGCAAATGATCCAGGACTAGTTTATGATACTCCATTTGAGGACTATGTAGCTTATTTGTGTGGTTTGAACTACACAAATCCACAGGTAAGTAAACTCTTACAACGCAAAGTGAATTGCTGGGAGGTTGAAAGTATCCCTGAAGCACAATTAAACTATCCTTCATTTTCCATATCCGGACTTGGATCAACTCCTCAGACATATACCAGAACAGTTACCAACGTTGGTGACGCCGAATCATCTTACAAAGTGGAGATAGCTTCACCAAAAGGTGTTGTCGTGGAAGTTGAACCCTCCGAGCTGAATTTCTCCGAGTTGAACCAGAAGTTAACATACCAGGTAACGTTTTCCAAGACAATCAGCAGCTCACAGCCTGAGGTTGTTGAGGGATTCTTGAAGTGGAATTCTAATACGTACTCTGTGAGAAGTCCAATTGCAGTTGTGTTAGTATTGACTACATAAGTGCAGAAAATGCTGTTTGTTTTCACTGTATACTTTATTTTACTTTTTCAATCTTTTATTACTATTTTGATTTTCACTGGTCTTTAATAATTTTATCATTATGAAATATTGTTTCAATGTTTGTTCACAGCTGATTAAATAATATGAAACCATTGCTTTTCCTTTATCATTACATTTTATATATTTATTTTCTTTTCTTTCTTGATTTCATTATGTTCATAGAAAAAAAAACGACTTTTTGAGATAATAAACATAAGGTGAGTGACCATGTGAGAATTTTTGTTATTACTCGAATCTGAGAAATTTGTTGTTAGTTACCTAATAATGTAGCCTTTAATCATGACTCCGAATCTTGATTGTGACATACTTACTTCTATTTTTCTTATATGAATAACTTGATTAAAATGTAATTATCTTCGAGAATAAAAAGTTTGTTATGTTTAATACCTTTAGTTTGACCGGTATCGATCTTAATTGTAGTTTCTTTTCATTAGCAAATTGCCTAACGCTCTTTTTTTTTTTTTTTTTTTTGTGAACAATGTATCTTATTGTTGTGATATTATTAACCATGTGATTTATTTGAAGTGTTTTATTGATCCCTGGTAAAGATTAGTTGTTTTATTTTATTTATTATAATAAAGTTTCTAATTGATTAAGTTATTATGTTTATATGTGACTCCTTTGTTTAGTAAATGATTTTGTGTATGAAGTTATTTAATTCATACACAGAATATTAAAATTGTCGGTTCTTGTAAGTTACTATCATTGTTCACAATCAAAGATGAGGTAGGACAGAATATTGATGCTTGTATCACAAGATTAAAAATAATTCGATCTTAATTATGAGTAATTCTAACTTCTTGTATTAGTACATTTTTTTATGTATTAAATGAACCAAATAGTGATATTATTTTTTATTCTAATATTAATAAACAATATCTTTAGTCCATTACATGAACTGATATTCTTAATTTAATATAATTATTATGATCTATGTAGTTTAATTTATTATTTTAATCTATTAAAATGTGAGACTCTATTACGAGTCAATATATTTTTAATAGATTGAATAATGAAAAATCACATAAATAAATAATAATTGATTAATATAACCATGTCTCAAATTTGAGATAGAAGATACCCCATTATAATTACTTATAAGTTTTTCATATCAGACCCAGGATTCGATTTTCATGTGAGACCCAGGATTCGAGATAAGAGATAAGTTAAGTATAAAATAGAGGGTTAAACTAGTTAGTTAATTAAAATTTTTTCTGAAGTTTATTTTAATTGATTAGTATCGATAAATTTAATGTGGAAAATTAAATAAATTGTAGTAGTAAATTTCGAAATTAAATTGCGAAGTATAATTACAAATTTTATTGGTACAAACTGCAATATGTAATTTTATTAAAATAT